AAATTAATAGGGTTATAGCGGGAAAAACCAATAAAAGTTATTTCTAACATACGTTATCTCCATGGCAACCACATCGACAGACTATAAAAATATTAAGGTAACCATATTGTAATGTTATCGCTCATCTTGGCGAACATAAACAACAACTTGGCGCTATTACCCCTGATATCAAACTAGCACCAATAATAATTGTATTTTTATATTATATCAATAAAATAATTACAAAATATGCATTGAAATTTATAATAAATATCAATCAAAATGAATATCAATACTGTAATGTTATCGCCCATTTTGGCGAACATAAACAACAACTTGGAGCGTGCCCGTGATATCAAACTAATTCCAATGGGACCAACAGGCCAAAGGGATTGTTCGTCGACTCCACACTAGAAGCAACACGGAGACATTCGGTGCGAATTTCTAATCGTGAACCATGATTAAATGACGAAGGCGACACCTCACATTCTACAAACTTCCACTCCGTACCAGCGAGAGAATGAATCTGTACAGATTTAACATGCATCAAAATCCCGTTATACAACACATTTTCAGTGGCATTAGGACTCGAATCAAAGAGTAGAAAGTTACGAACTTACAACCCCTCGCCTATCATGGACATAAATTTATGCAGAATCATGCATTGATTGCAGTTGAAATATCGTTAAATGTTACAGATGCAAAATAGAGATGTTTTCCGATTATCATTTTGAAAAAAAATATGCAAAAACTTTTAATTAAAAGTTTTAAAGTGCGTAATTAATAAATAATTAATATGAAAGACATCCGTTATTTATTTTAATATGATTAGTATCATGAAGGTAATGTAGGCATATGAATAAACACTATTTCAAAATATTTCTGACTAATGACACAGATCACAAAAGAACTTAAATTAAAAAAAAAAAAAAATTAGATTTGCCGATTTTGAGATTAGTTGAACTTTAAAAGCATCCGAGTTAAGTTAGAATAAGTTTTAAATTTGTTTCGATTCTACGTTATTGATGTATAACGCTTGATTTATTTTTTGAAAAATGTAGCAATTATTCCTATACACTCAATGCCTCTTGATAAAAATTTAAAGACATTAACAATGCCAAAAACTCACCTCCGAATACTGCAGCTATGTTTGATTTTCCGTTGTACAAGATTCTTGCAATTCAGAATACTTTTGTTTGTGTGTGATTTTTATCTCAACAAGCATAACAGCAACTGCGGGATGAGATTTTTCAGTTTCCCTCATTTTTTTTACGTCATTACAATACTAAAACTCTAATATATATCTCGACTTTATGAGTTTATTAGTGAAGAGATTGTGGTCAATTTAATCGGTTATACTTCGTATGTTTTGATAAACTTTCTACTTGCATCGTATGATTTTTTAATAGCAGTGCGATTTCCGATTTACAACTAGAAGGGAAAAACAGGGAGAACATCTGTTCTGAAAATGGCGGATAGCCGGTGGTATAGGTATCGGATCAGTGGCTGCTTGTTCACGAGTTACCAACCAAATAGCAAGCCGGCGGATCAGTTCACGTTTTGTCAGAGCAAATTTCCAGTATGAGGGTGTGGAGTTAGGAGAGGGGCCATAGCAGGTCGTCCGTCACTTGACCATGGTTCAAATTACGTGGTCCGTCGCAAAAGCCCTCGAGTAGCTGAACAGTGCGATCTTAATATTCAATCAATCAAAATCAGAAAATTTCCTAGAAAATTATACAAATCAAATGATAATTTGAGGATCTACGCTTCTGTGAAAAAAATAATACATTCCCTAGAGCAGTGGCTCTTAAACTGTCCGCGTACCCCAGGGTTCCCAGGCCTTTTCTAGGAGTTCCCCGAACGTCTCTCATTTAATGTTAAAATTTCCCTGTTTTACAGACTCTGAAAAGCCTCGTGGAAAAATTGAAAGATGTGCCGACATCCTAGACTAGGTCACTAAATTGCGCCAATGAATTATACTAGAACATGTATTTTGGTTAAGAATATCAATTCAGTAATTTTTATCGTGTGTAACTACCTAGCCTTTGTCACAACGTAATATTTTCAAAAAAAAAAAAAATAGAAAAACATGTGCAATGATTAAGGACTGAATCTATAGCGATAACGATTGCAATTTAAATTACTCAGGCGTGTGTTAGGGTGAGAAAGGGGTGTTCAAATTTTTGAGGGATCCACGATGCTAGGTTGATACACAAAGGGAACTCCGGCGATCGGAACTTTAAGAACCACTGCCCTGGAGAACTTTGAACCAAGCCTGTGAATGTTCAAAGTTAGTGAGTGTTTATTAGCGTCGCACTATAAAGCAACATGAGGGCTTTTGGCGATGTACCTCGTAATTTTGAACCATAAACAAGCGACGGAGATGACACTTGAGCTGGCATCCGATTTCTCCAAACTACCATTCCAACGGGAGGTCTCAACATTTTAGCATGCACCAGCCCCTCTTCACGGCGGGTCTTCAGTGGCAAGTGAATGAGTGACAGGGAGAGTTATATTAACGTCGCACCGAAAAGGAAACAGGGGGCCAGGGGGAAACAAAAAGGTAATTCTGAACAATGGCCAAGTGACGGAACGCCCCCCCGGGGTGGCCCCTCTCTCCTAATTACCCCCCAAACCAAGGGAAAAGCCCATTGATTAAAGACAGTCCACCCGGCCCCTTTTCCCGGCAGGTGATCAGGGGCCCGGGATTCAACCCGCGACGCTTCAACAATGATTTTGTGACCATAACCATTAGGCTACAGCAGCCCCGGGTCTTAAGTGGCATGAGAACCCGAACTCATGACACGCCGGTCATGAATTTGTGACCATGACTAGACTACCATAGTCACGTGAATGCTTAACGAATAACATGCAGTTCCTGTAACTAACCATGTTTTACCCGAGTATCAAATCTAAATTTTTCTCTTCTAGAGGCCAAAGTTAAATCTACTATTTTAGGATGGCAGTGTTTTGGAAGAAGCGAATTTTTTTTTTGTTTTTGATCTAAAGTCTTATTCCAACCAAGGTGATGAGAAAGCACATAACCAAGAAACAAAATCTTTTGATAATTAGATTTCTAATATAAGGCTGTTTTTGCCATATACCCAAGAGCGTGAATTTAACGCGAAGCACATTTTCAAACAGAAGAAAATGCCTAAAAATTTTTTAAAAAAAGGAATTGTAACTCTGCTTTTTGTTTATAATATAGTTTTTTTAAAAATTTCAAAATATTTTTTTAAAATAATTAGTTTTTCCCTTTTTAACATATAAAGGGACACCCCTTTTAAACATTACGGTATGGGGAAAGGGAAAAAAAAAAAAATGTGTCAAAACTCGAATAAAAAGGTAGTATCATAAAACAAGTGATTCTCTAAAGGATAGTGAAGCCAAAATATAATATTAATGTTTGAGTACTTTTATATCTGAAAAAATATTCCGAATTTGGGTACTGTTCTTTAACATTAGCCGAAAACAGTCTTAAGTTGTAAGTTCTGCTTTTTATGGGTTTCATTGAATTTCATCATACGTCGTGAATCGGAACGCTGTAGGAAACCATAACATACTTTATTAGAGGTGATTGCGATCATTTGACTACATCGCAGCAAAACTTTTAGTTGACGGCATCTCTGACACATTTTTGCTTTGATATGAAAGAATAACTGATCAAAACTGATTGCACACGAGGTCTTTATGAAGCACTTTATAATTTTGAATCATTGTCAAGTGACACGGCCGTCCCCAAGCTTACTTGCAGCGTCTACGTGAGGGCTTTGAGCCTCGGCAGATTTTACACTCATCAGTGTCTCTATACGGAATCGAACCCACGATTCGACAGAAAGAACGCCGGCCCTAAGTTCAGGATTACGATCCCTCGGTTAACGTGGTCACTACTGATGAACTGGTCACTACTTGGGAATCGAATTCCAGAAAAAGTAGGGGGTTCGAAACTTTTATACACTTTACATTAAATCCAATTGGGTTTAAATTTTTGCATGGAACGTTGCTTCTCTCTCTCATTCAAAGGCTTTCTCTATACTATACAAAGGGCCAGGATTCATCCTACCAGATAGGCAGCGCGTTCCCCCCCCGGGGGTCCGCCCAAAACCTAAATCCCGTATCACGGCATTTTTTAAAACCAAAATAAAAAAATTTAAAAATTCGAAATTTACCTTCAAAAATAAAAATTCATAAAAAACTTGGAGCCCTTTTACGAAGATCGGAATACTTTTAATTTAAAATAAATGCCATACACACATTATGAACTTAAAGCGTTATGTTTCAGGAAATATACTATTTTTTCTAAATCCTTGGATATTACTTCGAACAAATAGCTTTAAAATATAATAGCATTACTAACGTACATTGCAGGTTCTTTCGTAAAAGAGGGGGTGCACGTTATATGGCAAATATACCTCAAAATTAAAAAATGCAGTTTGAAAGTATAGGTGCGCATTATACGCCGGATTTTACCGTAGTTTTATCAATCAAGCAAATTTTTTTACGAGTTTCTTAAAGTAAGTAATATAAAAAAAATTCTTTTTTTAAGTCAATTCCTACTTAGGTCAACAAACAAACATTTTATTTTATAGTTGCTTTTTATTAAATAATTACAATTAATATATAAGTATTTATATACATATGACAAAATAGAAAGCGAATTTCGACATTTTCCTTTCTATATATCATGTTTTTTTTTGTTATTGTGAGAACATTTATAAATTCCCCTGCACCACAAAGTATCACACGGGGGCTTATAGAAGTAAACATGAAGTACACAATACAAAGGAAAGAGAGAATTTAAAGTCATGAAGGATTACAATACAACCATCCATGCCTTCTCCAGGATTCGAACCCATGCTCTTCGGCACCGCAGTCAGTGTCACTAACCACTATACTGGATGGGCAACAATATTTGCGGTCGTGGACTATATTTTTTTTTGTTTGTTACTATTTATTAATTAATTTAATTTAATTATTATAATAACATAGTATAGTAAAAAAAGAAATCACAGAAATTAAGCCATCTCAGGTGGGATTTGAACCCATGACCTTTGGATTACACGTCCAACAAGCTATCCATTGCGCTACAGAGGCACAACGAATGACTTTCCTTTCTATATATGCTGTTGGACTATTATTTTAGTTTGTTACTATTTATTCATTTTTTAATTGAGTTAATGAATTAAAAAATATTTGCAAGAAAATGTATTAAAAAAGCTCACAGGACTCGTAAATTGTAAATTTTTAAATCTTTTGAAAAAAAAAAATATGTTGAATCTTCTATATTTCTGAGCATTTTGGTACCAAAATTTTGTTGATACTGTGAAAACTTTTCCGAAGTTATTGAGAAATAAAAGTAGTGAGATTTAAAATGAAAACCCCCTATCTCTTTTCTTATTTGTAACTTCATTTTTCGCAAAACAAAAATTTTAACTTGCGCGAGGATTTCTCAGAAACTATTTATGATATACACACACACACACACACACACACACACACAACACACACACACACAACACACACACACACACACACACACACACACACACACACACACACACACACACCACACACACACACACACACACACACAATTTGAAACTTTATACACGTGTTCAAAAAAAGCTCTTCACAACTTATACATCAATTTCCCCAAAAAAAAAAAAAAAGAAAATTTCTTTATTTTAATTTTAATTAATTTTTTCTTAAAATTTTAAAATTTTGTTATAATTGTATTTAAAAAAACTTTTTTTCTATAAATTTCTTAAAAAAGCTAGTATAACTTTTCATAAGTGAATATTTTTATACCAAGTGTTAAATTAGTTTTGTAAATTTTGATCAGTTTTGTACTTTAGAATCCTGCGCGGTGTAAAGTACTAATTTTCATATTTTTGAAAAATTGTCCAATTTTTATTTCTTTATAACTTTTTAAATTTTTTCTCAAAGTTTCTGAACATTTGAGGAAAATGTAAATATATATGATTATACATGTGGTAAAAATTTCAAATTATTGTTTTGTTTTATTTCTAAGTTACGTTGGTTTGAAAAGGATGTTTTTTTCGAGTGCACGGATATCCGTTCAGGGCGACCCCTTAACATCAAGTGTCATCCACTACGTTAAAAAAAAGGATTTGAACTTGAATGGATGAATAGAAAATATTTTATTAACGATTGGAAATTTGAACAAGGTATATATATATATATATATAGGGAGAGTGTGAACTAATAGTAGGAACTGAAAAAGCTCTAAAAATTTAACTACCAAAGCAATGACCCCCTCTCCCCAGAACACGAAGTCCCGATAGCATAAGTGAGTGAATATTAACGTCGCACTCTGTTCAGTTACTCGAGGGCTTTTGGCGAAGAATCTCGTCATTTTGAACCATGGTCAAGTGACGAGGACGACACCTGAGCTGGCACACCCTCTCCTAACTACCATACCACACCAACGGGAGGACGTTTGAGCTCTCGACAGATTTAACGTGCATCGCTCCCCTACATGGCGGGTCTTTAGTGGTGCTGGGCTCGAACTCGTGATATGCCATCCATGTTCCGATGCCTTCACCACTAGGCTACTGCGGCCACCCGATACCATAGCATAGTTTAAGAAAAATAGAATGTTAGTGCACAATGTGTTGGTCCATTGTCTATTAATGTCTACTCTTTATACACATAATGTGATTGCAAAATTCGTGGCAGAGACGGTGATACTCCAATAGAAAAGGTTTTCTTGCTTATCAGAGGCTCACTGCAGATCGATTCTTAGCAAAGGCGTTTCAAAAATGATTTTTTTTTCAAGTTGCTTTAAAAGGGAAAAAATAAATATGGGTTAATATTACCTGACATAAGTTGAGTGTGTTTTTTTTTTCAAAAAATTTACCGAGGAAATTAAAAGTTTTCAATTTAAGGATAGCCTTACAATTTAGAAAAATCAAAATAATGAAAAGAAATGATTTTTATGTATATTTGCATTTTTATTAAGTTTTTGCTTTTTACTCTTATACATGTATATGAGTTTATACACTGGTGTGCAGAACTTAAGCAACAGGTGGGTTTATTGCCATAACTTCACGAAAAATCATCTGAGAGACATGAAATTCTGAAATGAGGGAGAGTATTATGTACGTAAATGATGACGAAAGCATCGGCGCTGAAAAAAGGAATACAACGCATACGGTGTGGAATCAAAAAAAAACAAGTTTTTATTGAACGCATAGTATCGTGACTCTGATTGTCTATCCAACAGGAAGAACAACAAGCAGATGTTTTAATATTATATGCCTCCCCTTACTACAATGGTTGCTTCGCACCGTCTCCGCATACTCAGAACCAGCTGGTGCAACATTCTTGAGGTAGGAGTGCCCATTTCTCAATCAACATCTGTTTGAGTTGTTGGTTGTACTCCGATGATGTGAGCGTGTGGCAATACGTCTCCCCAAGGCATCCACACATGTTCGATGGGATTTAAATCTGGGAGCACGCTGGCCAATCCATTCGAGTAAATCTTCACTTTCCAGCAGCTCCTCAACAGCAAGAGTGCGATGGGCCGTGCATTGTCATCCATAAAAATGAAGTCTAGCCAATGGCACCTAGGAAAAGACGCACATGGGGAAGAAGTACCTCCTCACAATAGCGATCCCCGGTTACAGACCCTCTGTCGAAAATGTGAAGCTTAGTTCGCCCGTTCAGCATAATGCCTTCCAGACAAGAACTCCAGAACAACAGTAACGGTGTCTTTTCCCTTTATGTTACTGGGAAAAACTGGGTCCCGATTTTCTCAAATCAAAACTCTTTGAGAATCGCTTTTTGGTGCTGAACCGACTCTCATCCGTAAAGAGGACACGTCAATGATCCCGTTGTCCCGTTTTTTGTGCTCTCGGGGCCACGTAAACGGTGGCTTCGGTGGTCAACTTTCAACGGGAGGCAGCGTTCAGGACGGCGGGCAAATAGTTGTGAAGGTGTCTGGCCACAGTAAACCGCGACACTTGTCGACCCGTTGCTGTACAGAGTTTCTGAGCAATGGTGCTTGCTGAATTCTGTCGACCTCTTTTCGCCTGTAGGATGATATATCGGTCATCCCCTGCAGTTGGCGTCCTCGGGTGGCCCCCACTAACCTTTCTAACAGATGTACCTGTGGTTTGGAAGGCTTTCCAAGAGCGCGAAACGACACTTTTGTTGATTCCGAACTCTGCAGCTACACTGGTGACAGTACGCCCCTCCTCCAGCTTTCCGATCATTCTTCCACGTGTGAAGTCATCCAGATGATTTCTTCCAGCCATACTTCACGAACTGACTCACTGGCACTTGCAGCGAATATGTTGAATTTCGTCTCCGTCCTTCATTTTATTCTACTGTTGAGCAGCGCGCGCCGACATCACGCGTTTTGCGTACGCTCACATCGCTTCTGGCGTTTTGTTCCTGATATTTGCATACACATGACGTTTCTACTGACTTACGTGTTCACTGTACTGATATCCAGACCTCCTTTTCTGCAATTTCATGGCTATCTGCTAAATTTTTACATTGTTGCTTAAGTTTTGCACACCAGTGTATATTGGCAGCGTTAAGTATTAGTCACAAAATATGAGAAATTCTCTAGAGCAGGGGTACTCAAATTTTTTTCTGCTGGGCCACATACATATGTTAGCTATTTCACGCGGGTCGCAAATGAGGATAAAGGTGAAATGCTTTAAGACCAAGACAACATTGGAAATTTAAAATGGGGAAAATTGATAAAAAAAATTAAAACTCCTATTTTACTTATTTTAATTATTTTTTATATTTTTAAATTTAATCACTAATTTTTCCTAAATTTGTAGCATTTAAGAACCACTCCTTCACACTGTCTGCATCAGTAAAGAAGTTTCATATGATTACCAATAATATAACAAATTTCATAGGGTGCATTTGTTACCACTGTAACATTACCACTGACAAAACACTTTGTTGCTGCAGTAAAGATTATTCAAGAAAGCGTATTTATCACCTCTTGAAAAAGAGGGAAATCAGGGGTACTCAACCTTTTTTTCTGCTGGGCCACATACATATGTTAGCAATTTCACGCGGGCCGCATCATGAGGATAAACGGGGGTATTTAAAATATGGAAATTTGGTCAAAGTATTTTAACTTCTGTTTTGCTTTTTAAATTATTATTTTTATGTTGTTTTATTTTTGTCACTGATATACTGAGAATTAGAAGCATTTAATAAACACTCCTTCACAATATAACAAACTTTGTAGGATGTCTTTGGTACCACTGTGACATTACCACTGACAAAACACTTTGTTGCTGTTGCAAAAATTTTATTCAAGAAAGCCTATTATAACCTCTTGAAAGAGAGAGATCTTCGAGGAAAAGTGTCATTGAATGTTTTTTGTTTATCGGTATTTTTTAAACAAAGCACTTTCGTGACAAATCAAACAATTACTGATCCATGTTTGTGTTTTTCACTACAAAATAATCAACTTCCCAATCGTCTTGAAACGATATATTTTCTTAGAATATTTTTCGCTTGCAAGGTATGAAAAATAGTTAAAAATTAGTTCCACCCGTAAAATTGTCGCTACAATACTAAGAGACCCAGAAGAATCCTTCTGGACTCGTATAATCCCCTAGTAATTAATTACGTCATTCCCTCGTGGCGAATGACCATTTTTGAATTTTTTATTTTACTTTCTTATTTCCTTTCTTATTTTTAAATTATTCTCAATCTGCAACCCACACAGGCACAAGCACTTTTTTCCAATCAATTTCTGTTCCATAACTTCAAGGCAGCGAATAGAATGTTATCTCACTGATTCTTTTAGTTCACTAATCAGGAAGCTCCCTCTCAATCCAGGCCTCTCCACTTCAAGGCCCAAATTCCTTTAGATATGGGATGGAGGAACGTTTCGCGTTCCATTTCCTTAAGATGTCAACCTTTCTGTTTCTGTAAAATTGTCGCTACTCCACTGTTGTCTGTTATCACTAACCGTTATCAATTCGCCCCCATTCGACATCGACAGCAAAATTGATATATTTGATTTCTTGACAAAGAATTTCCCGCCAAATTTGTAATACATTTTTCTTAAGTAAGTGAATGTGCCAGAGCAA